AAAAATATAATGTAAAATAAATAAACTTTCTGAAACAAAATTTGAAAACGGGGGAAAGTTTTTTTCGTTTATCTCAGAAACATAAAATGTGGACTTACCTCTTTCTTGCAGCAATGTCTTCAATTTTTAACGTTATTCATAAATGGTCAGGTATCTCCCAATACTTGTCGACTTACCCACTTTTATTACTTTTGTCATGTCTTTCATGTGACGATCTGCACGTACGCTCTTCGTCCAAAATAACTTTTACTCAAGAGGCACAGATAATTCAGCAATTTAAAATAATTTAAAGCATACGATCTTTTATTGTCTGTGATAAATCTTTGTGTCAGTGATACTTAAGCATTATATGTACATATACAAAATTTTCGTCACACGATAGTAACAAATGTTTCAAAATGCATCAACGTAAATCGCGATTGTGATTGTTTTGTACTAAATCTGATTATGTTGCGATTCACTGTTCAACGTACGATTATTGCGAACGAATCAATCCTTAGCCTTTTGATTATCTATCATATTGCAGGGTATCAGTACTAGCTTGGGTATCATGCCAGGCGGTGTTATAAATTGTTGCGTGGTCTGCGGCATGTTCTGGCCGGAGTACTGCACCTCCGCCTCCGTGACGAGCTTGCAGATACGCATCTTGATATCCGCCTGCGCTTTGGGCGGTAGTTTCTTCACGGTCTGCGCCATGCTGTCAAAAAATAATTCTATGCTTTTGCTCTCCGGCGCCAAGTACACTTGATCGAACGCGGCATCGTTGTCCTTCGCGACGCTTGATCCCTTCACAGGCGTGGACGACGCACTTGGTGCCGGACTCGTCACAAGAATGGGATTAACGCTAGTACTATTATCAAGTGCACTTGCATTATTGACCTTAAGGGAAGACTTCTTTATCACATTGGAGCCGAACTTTTGCGAGGGTAACGGATGATCGGTCTTTAATCGTTTCGGGCGTATCTTCCGATATTTTGACTGTATTTGCTGAACGTAGCTGTCGAGCGCCTGCTGAGTAGCGTCCTGTTCGTTCGCTGTGTCCTGAGTATCGCCATTGTCCAACGTTTCTATCGCGTTAGGCACCAGTAGAACTGGGTCGGCCGATGTATCCTCGAGCACCTCTAGGTACTCGCTATAGTCCTCATTGTTTCGATCCTCCAACTGTTCCAGCAGAGCCTCGCAGCTCACCTCACCCGAGTTTATCTCCTGTACGTACTCCTTTGTTAATTCTATGCACTGCGGCTCATAGTCCGTCTCGTACCTGTCGAAGTATTCCCAGCTCAGAGAGAGTCGTAGGTCGGTATATCATAGTCAGGACCGTCTCAAGATCATCTTTAGATACCCCGTAGTCAATGAAACGTTCCATACAAAATCTTTGGACAAATTCGAGACGGTCTTGAATACGAGATCAGAGTTTGTGTCATGGAAATGTTCGGTGTTGTTCAATTATCTTCTAGATTTCTATCGTTTTCCAGGAGAAACGGAACAATTCCAATCAGAATCCATTCCGAACATTTCCACGATAGGGTACCCTGACTACGAGTTCCAATCACAGATTCCTTACGGGTATTTTATGAAGTTCAAGTGATCCTCGAAGACCCATTTCTTCCTTCTCGCGCTCTCCTCTGCCTTGTTCTTGCACTTCAAGATACGGCAGTACGTGTCCCTAAGATTCTTCCACTTCAGCCTAACCCACGTGGCTAAAACAGACAACGTCGAGCCACGTCAGCAATGACATGTAAAAAGGAAAAAGAAGCCAACAATAATACAGAGACGCACGGTCCAGGCCAAGCTCGTCTGCGATACGCTTCCAGACTTTCTGCTTGAACTCCTGCAGCTTCACCGGTAGGCCCTTCACCTCGGAGCAGTAGAGCACCGGGTGCTGCTTGATCGCCTCTATGATGTTCAGCGAAATCTGATAGGAGTCCGGTGGCACTGTCATCTCGTAATCAAATCGCGCGTTCAACCTGGAAAAAGGACGATACTGTTTACTTACTTACAGGACTCCCGTCTCGCGGTTTGCATTCCCGCCTGGGCTCCGATCTCGCTGTCGCCGGCGGCGGCGACGACGACGACGACGACGACGTTGCCGCGATGCCGCGCGTGAAAATTGGTCGAAACGTTTCGCCGCGCGCTGGCGTTTCGATGTGCACGCGTCATTATGGGTCTCGGTTGCGCGCGCGGTCGCAGCGTCGTATGGAAGCGTGGAAATCGCGCGAGGGACCGCCGGGGAGTAGTGATACCTCGCAAATCAGCGAAAATCGCCCGACAACAAGGATAGTCCACCATACAATGGTCGCCGGCGAGGTTTTACGTTTGACGAGACTGGTCGCCGGAGCGACGCCGCGACCGAGTTCGCTCGGTGTCGCGCACTTCCGTCGCGAGCTCGCGCTTCCGGTAACCTCTGCGTCGCGCGCGAGTATCCCGCAGACTTTTATATACTGCCAGACTGCTACCTTCGGACTGAAAAGTGAGGCAAGGGTTTCGTCATATCTTGTTAGGTAAATAAAGCGCGTCGGTGTGCATCGGTGCGTCACCGACGGACCGATGCACACATACTACTTTATTTACCTAACAAGACATGGCGGAACACTTGCCTCACTTTTCAGCTTGAAGCATAGTACAAAGCCAACGGCACACGATAGTATTTTTTTTCTACTGGATTACTTACGAGAACCAATAAGGATGGAGAGTTTTAAGCCAACGGAACACGGTATTATTTTTCCATCTATTTACCCTTGATTCACAATCTTGCTGTAAGTAAAGGCCTTCACACATAAAATTCCGTAAGGACGTAAAACGTAAGCATAGGAAAATCGACCAATCACAGTCGAGAACGTAAGGCAATAACGCAAGCAGCAGCAAATCCAATCTGTTGATTTTCTACGCTTACGTTTTACCACAGTATAAAGACCTTCACACATAAAATTCCGTAAGGACGTAAAACGTAAGCATAAGAAAATCGACCAATCACAGTCGAGAACGTAAGGCAATGACGCAAGCAGTAGCAAATCCAACCTGTTGATTTTCTTACGCTTATGTTTTACGTCCTTACGGAATTTTATGTGTGAAGGCCTTAACCCATGGACGTAAGAATATATGGACGGAGCGTAATGTAGGATTTAGGACGAGGGGACCCAAGCGAGCGCGGTGAGGGGAAATTGGGTGGCGGCCATATGTGATGACTAGCAGAGATCGCACGGTCGCATAGGGAGGGGATGACGCACACAAGCGAGCGACCGTGTCCGTGTGCGCACAGACACGGTCGCTCGGACAGCACTGCCTCGTGGTAGTGTCGCCGCCATATGTGATGACTACTTTTCCCCTCACTGCTCTGGCTCGGCCCCCGCTAACTTACACTCCGTCCATATATTCTTACGTCCATGCCTTAACCAGTATGTCCACTCTCTGTCGGCACCTTTGATCTGGGCGTTCTCAATTTTCCGCCATGTTTTTATTATATCCAACAGTGTATCAACGGCTAAAAGTGCCTGGGCCCTTTTCAGGATCGTATCCAGGGCCTAAATTCCGTACACGATTACCGACGACCATCGATACGTTAACGACGTTTGCGCAGCTTTTCTATCATGTAGAAAAAGCTGCGCAAACGTCGTTAACGTATCGATAGTCGTCGGTAATCGTGTACGGAATTTAGGCCCAGGAAAGGTGCATACGAACTAGCGTACATTATTTATTGTAAATGGGAATGGCCTATGAAAAAAATGTTCTAATAAAAGTAATTAATGTAA